GCTGTAATACCGATGTTTTGCCCCTGCTGTTGAGTCCCCCTTGTTAACATTCCAGGACTACACCACTGAGCAAAAATTGCAAATGTAAACGGGCCTTTAAACGAAAACCCAAACCTTACATCAGCAATATCCGGCCGGATATTTTTCAACTATCCGGCATATCCGTTGTCCGGCCGGATAGCAAAAAGCTCTTTCAATCTTTCAAAAATCCTCTGCACTCCTAGCAATCATTTGTGATTTCTGTAATTTATAATGACAATGTTAATTTCTTTGCCCTTTGTTTCAATATAGTATCAGAATACTTCCAAAGCGAATATTTATGCTCTTGGTGATGTATGTGGAAAGGCGTTGCTCACTCCAGGTTTGACAAAGGATGTCCTTATTCTTTAGGAATTCTGGTTGCTAACACTTGCACATTAATAAATACACCCTTATTTTTATATTGTAGTTTTTATATTGATACACAATATTTACAGCCATTATTTAACAATTATTCGCCGAAGGCGAGGTGATTATCGGTGAATAAAAACCGAGACGAAGTCGAGGTTTTTATTCACGATAATCACCGAGCCTGAGGTGAATAACTGTTTTAGTATAATTTCATAGGTGATTATATGGAAAAAATAAAAAAATACACATTTCTTCGTCATTTAATTGACAAAAAGGCTTCGGCCGCCATTTTGAAAATCGCTTAGGTGATTATCGCGTAATAATCACCTCAACGGCAACCAATCAGCGTGGAGAATTTTCAATAATCACCTATGTAATTATACTAAAGGCATTTAAATGGAGGTATTGCACTCAGAGATGTAGCGAAGATGTAGTCAAATTACCTGATTTTTTAAATTACGTTTTACGTTACCTAAAAGCAGTCTTTGAAATTTTTTTTCATGAGCACATTCAAGTAGCAGGTGTTCTGTCGAAGGAATATTATATTTAGCATAATTGATACGGGGATGAATCTACTAGGGGGAAATTTGAGAAAATTTTGAGACCCTCAGAAAGCTTGGAAATGCAATTTTGCATTCTTCGCTTGCGCACTCACTTTTAACTTGCATGTTTTCCAGTCAATGGTCTTAACAGTGACCTGAGAATAGACAATTTGGGCTGACGTTGTTTACATTGCTCCCCAATTCACAACTGTAGATAACTCACATACCTAGTTAACCATTGTTCTAGTTGACAGAAGCATAAAATAGGACAGAGGTAACTAAGCATTAGAATTATGTATAAGAGTTATTCACTCATGTAGATAATTCTAGAGCTTAGTTATAGTTATGCTTCTGTAAACTAGAACAATGGTTAACTAAGCATGCGAGTCATGATCTAAAGTTGTGAATTGGGTATAAACAAACGTTAGCCGAATTAACCTTTCTCACGGCCGATTTTTCACGCCATTTTTGGAGTACTGCCTCTCCCACGTTCGCCGTGCCGTAGCCAGCTCGATAATTTGAGAATATTCATATATTCGTGTTCTGCGTTATTAATTTCTTTTTGAAATTTCTTTTTGTTTATGTGGTCCGTGAACACGAATATATGAATATTTGCCCCCCCCCCCCAATTATCGACCTGGCTACGGCACTGCACGTTCGAGAGTCTTCGTTCGAGACTTTTTAGTATTGTATAGTTGTGTGCATAATCGGGTAAATTTATAGTGTTACAACTTTTAAAAGTCGCTTTCGCGTTGTTTGAACTGTCTACAATCTTTCACGAGGGCAGACAGTACCCCCAAAATGGCGGATGTTGGCCTTCTTGAGAAAGGCTAATATATGATACAAGCTATGATGCGGAATGCTGCCAAAATTAGTCATACCAATTTTCCGGTGACGTTCGTGTTGACAAAAACGTGGCTTGCTTAAGCTCACTAATGGTGACTTTTGACATAGAGGGAAATATACATGATTTACTTATTTGGGGGTTAACAGATGTCCTCATGTAATTTTGATCTTTTTTTATTTCTATTTGCAGTTGCTATTGCTGCTGGTCGTAGATTATCAAACCGTCTGTTCCATGGTGAAGTCGACGCAAAGTTGGACTACGATAATATACCAACGGTGGTATTTGCTCATCCTCCCATTGGAACAATTGGCCTGACGCAAGGTACGTGCGATCACCAGTCTGGCACTCTAAAACCACTCTGGGTACAATTTTCCTGCTTAACCTAGAAATAACCTCTATCTCGGCCAACTTAATATTCCTGGTTAAATTCCTGGTTATTTTAACCATTTTCCCACTATAATTTGGTTAATTTGACCTTGACTCCTGGATAATAGACTGTGCTAAGCGGATAATAACCAGGGACTGTGGTTATATCACCTAGCATAGTCTGGTTGTTTTAGCAAGAATGTCCTTGGTTAAATATAACCAGATTCCTGGTTATATAACTTATATTACCCAGACTGTGGTAGGAAGTGAGATAAATAACCAGAAAAAAATGAAACAAGAATATTAAGTTAACTTTAAGTTAACCCAAATAGTATGCATGATCTCTAGGTTAACCAGGAAACTATGAGAGTATTTTGCAATATTTAGAGTATGTGCCTTTCAAGCCTTTCACCACCTCTGCAGTCGGGCCGGTTATTTTCCTGCAATCAAAAATGTAGACATTTTTAATAACGACGTCAAACATGGGTAACCTCGCAATGTGATATTACACTGGACAATGTAATGCAAATGATAATACATGCATGAAATTTAATTGGCTCGGGAACGGTTTGCATTGCGAATTGGAATCAATTAGCCTAGCCTTTCACTACCTCTCCCAAGTCAGAGATTATATACGCACCGTGAAGTTTTAATCCAAGTTTGACGCCATTTTTAAGGAAGGTTTATACTTCCAGTTTGGCTTTTAGTTAGCAAACACTCAGGTTTTCTCGTCTCAGAACTCTGGTTTCAGCTCCATTCGTACGGATTGAGAGATTCGTAACGTGATGCTTTAGGGCTTTAGTTTACATAGGACGACACCATTTGTCCAATGGTCCGAATCTGTTACGACGAACTATATCCTAACCCATACCCCATGGCCCATGCTGATTCACGAAATCCACGAATCGTATACCAGTGGAGTATATTCGACAGTGTCGGACAACCCTTGTTTAACGACTTCGATGGGAAGACTTCGTGACTGTCACACTGCCGTCCGCCTTTTCCTGCATTAAATGGTACATTCCCACGTTCTACCATGTACGAACTTGGATCAAACGTCAGAACGCAGATTGTGGTTTACAAAGGCCCACTAACCGATTTTTCAAACACAAAAAACTGAATTATAAAGAACTACAAAACTTGCTTAAACAAAAAATGAAAGACATACTGTTTTCCCCCATTGATTTTCACCGTCAAAAAGTAGTAATTTAGATATATTGTACGAATCTTTGACGGTTTTACCAATCAAAGACATAGAAAATGGAAAGTATATTTTGTCATCATATCTGGTGACTATATAATTACATGATGGCATGTTGAATATCGTTATCTTACAGAGGAGGCTATCAGCAAACATGGCATTGAGAATATCAAGGTGTACCTGTCCTCCTGGACTGGAATGTTCCATGCTATAACCGAACATAAAACTAATCTCACAGTGAAGTTGATTTGTCTTGGCAAGGAAGAAAAGGTTGGTTCAATTACCGTTCATTGTTATATGTAAAGATGCATGGGGGAGGGGGAAGGGTGGTACTGAAAGTCGTAAACATATTTCCTTGCAGTTTAGAGGCGAATGGAGAAGGACGCTGCTTTTCAAACATAACTAAGTCGAAGGCTTATTAGTGGCGCCTCTATAGTTGCCATAAATCACAAAAAAATGAAAAGGAAAAGCACCTAAAAATGAAAAAATCAAATATGATTTTATGATCTCGTACACTTTGGAGTGATTTTCCCTTGGAAAATGCAACTAGTTGTGTTGCCATCTAACCGTTTATTGTTCCGACTTTAAAAATTTTTGTGAGACAACTGACAACGGCAAAATTACAGTTTTGTATTCGAGCCAAAGCATATATATACGAAAGTTTCATTCTCTTGTTGATGATCACCAAACTCGCATTATTTGAATTTATGCCAAGGGTCTATTGGTTTTGTTTGGCTTTTGTGTAGGTGATTGGTTTGCATATCGTTGGAAATGGTGCAGATGAGATGTTACAAGGATTTTCTGTCGCTGTGAAAATGGGAGCGACAAAGAAAGACTTTGACAACACTGTTGCCATTCACCCAACCACATCTGAAGAAATTGTCACTCTTACCAGTGCTGATCTCCTCAAATTAGAATGACTTTCACTAATTTTTCAATTTCTTTGTTAAACTCGCACGCATATAATGATTTTGTAATTTACATTGATGTAGTTATATTTTTGCCTATTTGAGAAGTAGTGCTATCTTCTGTAATCGAAATTAAGATATTAATTTTAAATCACTGCATCATGTATTATACAATATAACTTATAATGTCAAGTAAATTAGCCTTTCTTACATTGGCGAATATCCGCCATTTTTGACTCACGCAACATATATGAGTTTGTGTGGTTACTTGAGTGTAAGGCAGTTAAACAATGGGAAATGACCAGCCTGCTTTGCGCGTACTGTTTGCCTGCGAATCGGGCCTTTCACACCCGTAAATCAAGCTGGAGCACGCTTTCGTTCTTTTGATTTTGCAAAAGAAGCATGACAAATGGCAAAATTTGCACGGTGCTCGTTGGCAAAAACAATTGCAAACTGCTCTAATTCTTTCAGTCACTTTCATTTGATCTTATCCGTGAGTCAGCCCCAACGGCCTTTGGCTTTGATTGGGAAATGTTTTTCCTTATCAAGGAATCTAGACAACCAACCATTATAACACACAACTACAGTGATAAAAAGTCATTTTGCGATGCTTACCCTCTAAAACGTGGGAGAGGTAGTACCAACATGCACCATGCACCCTTGGTTAAGAGTATGGTATAATGGCAGTAAAAGGGATGAACGAGAGGTTTGAAGGTTTCAAGATAGTTCAAAGTTTAGGGTTAATTAATGTTAAGGTCAGGGTTTGGGTTAGGTTTAGGGTATTACTAAAGTTTAGAGTAAAGTTTGGAATTGGTATAAGTGTATGGTTTGTGATTTTTCGCGTTTTGACGATTCTTAAAATGATATGTCTACCAATTTGAAAACTTGCCTTTTCCTTCCCCTTCAGCAACGAGCTTAAAGCCCTGTTCAAACTAGCCTTCGCGCAGACTATATAATGACATATATACTATATATGTCATTATATAGTCTGCGCGCAGGCTATGTTCAAACAAGTTGGCATGGTTCATTATTGTTATTGGTGCAACAGTGTTCGCCGATGTTGGATAATGTTGGATGGCAATTTTAAACATAGTCAAAATCGTTCCAACCGACGTCAGCCAACATCACCCAACACCGTGTTCAAACGAGACCAACCAGGGGCGGCGCTACAGGGGTGTGTGGAGTGGAACACTCTCACCCCCCCACTCGTCGGCAAATTATCTCAGTCGGCAAAACTGGATTGGCTAAAGATAACCACTGTAGAAACCAAAATTGACCTCCTGAATAATTGAATTCAAACCGAATATCACGAATAGCATGTATCAAAGAAACCACACATGCAGCAATGCAAATTCTTTCTAACTAAATTTGTTTGGTTGTTGTTGTTCAGTTGTTGTTGCTTATTATACTGTTCTATAAAAGAGGCAATAAAGCAGTCGGTTTTCCACTAGCGAATTTTTTCGCACGAAGCGACCCTTTCCTTTGTCGGTATCACTTATTACGTCAGCAAGACGTGGCAAAATCAGTCCTCGAAAGCGAGGTCGGCATTCCAAGGTCAGCAAATTTTTGCCGACCTTAATTCAACCAAAGTAAGAATTTTTTGGTGCTGGTAGCTGTTAAAAAGTCAGCGATTATAGAATTCGATTCGTAGTTCGATTAACTGAACACACTGCGGTGTAAGGTTTAAAAATTGACGGGTATTGGGTCACTTAGGTGTCTGAAGATCAAATTTCGCGCGTCATGAGTTAAAATTTGGCTTCAACTTTCGAATTTTCCGGCTGGAGGTAACGTTCCATGCAGTTATATTTCAATGATAGGTAAATGCGTGATTATGATGCTCCAAGACGTGAAACAGATTTTAAGAAATGCCGAGTCGTGCCGACCTAGGTCAGATTTAGATCGGCCCTTTTTTGCCGACCTCAATTTTGATGGTTTTCGAGGGCTGCAAAATGGATGCCGACAAAGGAAAAAGGTCGCTTCGCGCGGAAAAATTCGCTAGTGGAAAACTGGCTTAATAGAGGGTAATAAAGCGCATTTAGACATGCAAATTTACCATAGGCTAATGACTCGGCAAAATTACCAAACAATAGTCGGCAAAAGATCACTCACACCTACACGCGAAGAGGGTTAACTCCGCCCCTGAGACCAACAATGCGTTGGATGATCAATGTGTTGGATGATCAATGTGTTGGATGATCAATGTGCTGGATAGCTTTGGATGATCAATGTGTTGGATGATTAATGTGTTGGATGATCAATGTGTTGGATGATTAATGTGTTGGATGATCAATGTGTTGGATAGCTTTGGATGATCAATGTCGACAATGTGTTGGATGATCAATGTGTTGGATAGCTTTGGATCAATGTCGACAATTTGTTGGATGATCAAAATGTTTGGACGTGGTTTGAACGGGGCTTAAGACTAGTCTAGTGCTTTTAAGCCCAATATAAACAAATATCGATACAGACAAATTTTATTTGTCTCCAATCACTCTTTCTCTCCACGATTTTCGCTAAGCGAAATTGACCAATGCTTTTTCTGAATATTTTGAGTCTGAGTCTGGATTTTGCCATCCGATAATAGCGTCCGATAATAGCGTCCAATAATGAACTCATTTTTAAAACTAGGATCAGTTTTTAAATTCCACCGGCGAGAGTATCTAGATTCTGCAGAGATTATTATTTGGAAAGCGTGCAAACGGCTTCAACTAAAACAAAAGTATTTATTGCCAAATGAATAAACGTGATGTTTTCTCAAAACAAAACAATTTAATTTATTGTCATGCAAGCCGTACAAAGAACTTACAAAAAGATTGCGCCATAATAATTCATAAATTTTTACGTTCCGCTATGACGCGGTGAGTTTCCTGTCCTGATAATCTTTTTTGGCCCCGCAAAACACCCACACAGCCACCGCAGAAAAAATGCCATTGCTTGGTTAGATCTTAAACATATCTATATATAGCTTTCCGTCGAAATTTGAACCCACGAAAAACATTGGCTTAGGCCAATGGAATTAAAGTATCAGTTTACCGTCACACGCCGCGTGAAATTTTCATTATTTCAATACTTTTTTCATTTGTCAACTGTATAGCAAGTGTTTCAAGAATGGCTTTCTGTTGAAATTTTTGGCAAATACTGGATTTGATTATACAGTTAGCGAAACCACGGCGAAACGGAGTCAAAGACATAGTTGATAGTTTGGAAGCTAGCAAAAAGCTAATCTTGGATTTTTTTGGTCGAAATTTGAATTTTACCTCAAAATTTGGCAAATTCAAATCGTAAAAAAATAATGAATAATGAATAATGAAAAAATCCGCATCAACTTTTGAAATTTTAGGTGTCGGTGACTGACCTGATTAATTCCATCGGCCTTACAATGACACATTGACACACGTGCCTAAACTAATACTGTAGTTTCATTTTTCACATCTGTTCACCCTTTAACTATTGTCGCTTGAAATTTTCATCCCTTTGAAAAGTTTCCATTCATTTCAAATGATTAGTATAGGAATTTCAGCAGTTTTCGCATAAATCGCGCGCCCGGCCGCCGGCAATTTGCAAAGTCAGCCCAACCTGTCACGTGACCAGCCGGTGTATCGCTTCCAAAATGGCGATGATGTATGAAGGATAACAACAGAGATAGTGTGGGAGGGATCTAACTTTTTCTCAATGTTCTGTTTACAAAAGTTATGTGAACTTTACCGTATATGAAAGTTGAAGTACTGCTGTCCGCCTCTTGATATCAATAATATTCTGTCGACCTGGCTTTCATAAAACATATGTAATCTGGCGGAGAAGCGAAGACCTAGCTCACCTAGAATCTTGAATGGCAGTGGTAGGGAACCTTGTCAATTTGTTCTATGATTAACCCTCTTTGTTATACAAGGCGTGCCTGTTTTACCTATACTCAAAACTCAAGTATCCATTGTATAAAACTGGCTAGAATATATATTAAAATATAATTTCCCAAGGCTGTAAATCCATTTAAATTTGAGTTTGTTGTTCTTGTATCGACGGAAGTTCTCAAGATAGATGCTGTGATAATGACATATTTCTCGTTCTATGTTTAACAGAACAGAATGCGAGATGATCCCGAAGACATTTTTACGAAACAAGAAGAGATCGGGAAAGGTTCTTTTGGCAAAGTTTACAAGGGGTAAGCTACAGCCAATAAACTTAATTACGTCTTATATCTGTCCAGGTGATCAGAGCGTCTTGTTTCACGTTTATTATTAAAAAATCCAGATTTTAAATAATAATTTTAGTTAGGTATTAAATATATATTTTCGAGGTAGACCAAAGCCAGTAATTTATAACTGTATTTCTAAAGGCATGTTGCTATTTAAGCTACTGTACTTGTCTATAAGTGTGATGTTGCTCTTTTAATGCCAAACTGAAAGCTTAATGCTCTTTGACAGTACTGTTTAGTTACAAATGTATCCAATATCATGCTAGTGTGTTAGAGTATCCCTAAGCTTCTTGGCTATGATCCAGTTCATGTAAACTCCACATAGCTCCGACATTTACAAACTATCATGCAGGAATTCATTCCAGAATAACCAATCGTGTGAAACAGACTGTTATCTGCATATATTTGAAATTATGTAGTGCATATATACATGTGACAATGAAATTGGCTTAAGTGACATGCTTATATATATAAAATAATCTGTTACATTTTATTAGAGGTTTGATACAGTTTATACTTTGCAGTATGGAAAAACATGCATGACTTTATGAGAGGAAGTTATATAACACATAAGGCTGAGTTTACACCAGACTCGATAGCTTTCCATAGTGGCATGAAAAAACACCTGTTCGATACAGAATGTACAACTTTCAGAAGCTGAGCAAAACAACATCTCTCCCTTGTGATAATTTCTCTGAAAATAGCATTCCTAAAAGGTACAGATAGTGTTTTCGTGTCGCTACGGAATGCTCTCTGTAAATGTAGCCTAAAACTACATATAGGAAACTAAAGGAATTGTCAAGCCTGGTTTGATGACTTGACGCAGTTTTCCACCAGGCAAATGTTTTGTCTGAAGCGAATTGAAAGACAATGTCAGCAATTTTATTGGTTTGCAAAAAAGGCCTATTGATAACTGGTTACTCAACTGGAAATGTCTGTATATGGTTAATCTAATTTAATGATCAGTTAATCATCAAATAAATTGTATTGCCCAACGTGGACCTGTTTATAAGCCACAATGTGTCTTATCAACCCATACTTTATTATTTTACTTTGCCTAATGTGAGACCGTTGGGCATTAATGGTTATCAAACCTATCTACCAATGTGTCTTATAAACCTGTTAAGCCTCAAAATGCCCTGCACTTTATATATTAATCAAGGGGAATGTGTTGGACATTAATGGGTTAGTAACCCTCTCCTTCCGCTTTTATCATATAAGACCAATTAACCCATTGAGCACTAGCATACTCCTCTTTACAAGTAAAGTCATCTGGCATTAGACAGTAAAATAATAAAGTAGAGCGCACACATGAGCAGACAGTCCATTGAGTACCAGAGCTCTCTCCTTGATGAGTAAAATTGTCTGGCGTTAGACAAAGTTAAATGATTAAGTAGGGCACATTAGAGTGCAATGTACTTAATGGGTTAATGTTTAAATATTATCATGTGCCAGGCCTTGCTCAGGAGACACTCGATTGATCATGTGTTTCATGTGTGCATCCACCTTTTGTTACTCATACTATTTTTCACAATCAAGTAACAATTCTAGTGACATGTTTGAATGTTACTATATGGTCTCCCTAGTGTCTGGCACTGTCTGCCACTGATCAGTTGTGGATTCTGACCTTAGCCCCAGTTCATTCTTTCAGGGAACGATATTTATTACCCTGTATATATTTTACAGTTCTGCCAAGAAATAACACTGCATCTGCCTGCATCCAGGGCCTCCAGAATATCTGTTCTGTTCTGCCCACATCTTGCCTCCAGCTAATAACTGCTGAACACTGTTGTCATAAGTTCTCCCATTGAGCACAGCACTCTCAACCTTGTTCCCAGACTAAAGAATGAGGTTGCAGAACTCTGCCCTTACATACACATTTGCATACTTGTAGTTGGTTGTGAAAAGACAGATCATGTCACTAATTACAAAAGCCAACAAGAGATTTTGGAATGAAAAATTAGTTTGTAATATTTGTATCCAACCTAAACAATGTGTAGGGTTGGGCGATATTTTGATTTATCGCGATATTTTCAATCACAATTATCGTATCGAAGGTAGAAACTTGAGCAATGATATATTGAAATTATTGTGATATTGCTTCGCATGTGTACATAGCTTTTATAAAAATCCTAAAAAAAATCCTTCAATTTCTAGAAAATGTAGTTTTTAAAAGAATTAAAACTATTTCCTGAATCAAATACAAATTTAATTAATACGATATATTGGTTAATTCCTGGTTTCACCCTCACTAATATACCATTCTAACTTTTATACATCCTAATAATCCCTACTTATCACTGGTAATCTAGTACTCCTTGGTAAACTAGTAATCCTTGGTAATCTAGTAATACTTGGTAATCTAGTAATCCTAATTGGTAAACTAGTAATCCTTGGTAATCTAGTAATCATTGGTAATCTAGTAATCATTGGTAATCTAGTAATACTTGGTAATCTAGTAATACTTGGTAATCTAATAATCATTTGTAAGTTAGTAAGCCTTGGTAAGTTAGTAAGCCTTGGTAAGTTAGTAAGCCTTAGTTGGTAAGTTAGTAAGCCTTGGTAAGTTGTAAGCTGCTGAACAATGAAATTGCAGACTTTGCTTGCGCTGTGTGCCCATGGCATTTGTGTCTGCGGAGACACTGTAGACACTGCATAGACAGTTCAGGTTTATGAGCAGTAAATATTAGACTAGAAAAGCCTTCATATTACTTTAATTTGTTGTTTTACTTGTTTTTAATAAGATTATATATAAGCTTAGTTATGCTTTGATATTAATTAAAATTGAAAAATGGTCATTGTTTTTGTTGCGTTTATCGCGATATTATCGAATATCGTGATAATTTCCTTGACAATAATCGTGAGTTGATTTTTTAATATCGCCCAACCCTAACAATGTGTTGCAGATGCACCTGTGGACACATGCAAAACTACTGTGAGCTGGATGTGGTTTCTTGGCAGTGCTGTAATTAACACAGTATTAGAATTCACACAGGCCACAGATGCACAAAATTAAAATCAAGTGAAAAGTAATCTGTGCAAACGGTTGGTTGCTGTCACATGCATGAAATATATAGTCGGCATGTAGAGAAATATCACGTACTGTAGAGGGTGGGGGCAAATATCACATTGAGGGTGCACAAATTAAATTTGTGTGAATTCAAGACTTTGGCAAAATCGGTATAAATCAACGTATATATAAGCAACGTATAAATAATATGTATTTAATATAAATATACAGTACCACGCATTTTCAACATAACGTTTTCATGATTGATACAATTATGTTACATGCTTCTTTTAGCTTTATTTTATTGCAAAGATGAACAGATTAAAGTATGCTGAAAAATGTTGTAATAGATACATTAGATAACTAGCCCATTATTTAGGTTTGATTTAGAGTAGTCATATCTGCAACAAGGACTGCCATTGATAATTAACAGTTATTTTTAACTGAAGGCATTATCCCGTCTAAATAATTATGTTTTGATAAATAAGTTATTTCTTGAATTTATTCTTTAAGAAACATTTTGTAGTAGGATGCATAGTTTTTGAAACTGATAAATCTCATTACACAAATTGTGTTGGACATGTATGATCCTAACCTTAATGGACATGTATGGGAGAAAGCATATTTATATGAAACTGGTAGATCTATTACCTATTGGGTATAAGAATTGTTTAGTTCAGTTTTGCTCCATTTACAATGTTACAGTAACTGTCTTCAGACATCCTTATGTTGTACAGTAGTTTTATGGCAATTAGCCATTTCCCAAAGTCCTGGGTCTAGTTGTGAAAATCTCATGTTGGAGGGACAAATTAAAAGTTTAATACACACATTTAAATTAAAAGTTTAATACAAAAAGGAGTTTCATTTTTGGTCATCTAAAAAGTTGATATTTGATGGTAGATACTTCTACTCTTTCACATATTTGACGCCTGTCTCCATATATTTTGTCCCTCTAAACGATCCCAGAATGCACTGTGATGTCTTTTGGGAAAAGGCTAATTAAAATTGTCGTGCATCTGACCGCGGAGGTGGTAGTAGGACATACTTGGAGCGAGGCATTGCTGCTACTTGTAAATGAATGATTTTGTAATCAAATAATATAATTATCTTCTTTTTATTGCTATCTTCTCTCAAAATAATGTTGGGATAGAACTCAGTATGACTGATCAACCATTGAGGATCAAATGCACTGTAATGAAGAGTTTGTCTCGTATATGTACATTACATAGTCTTTTTTAACTGTGTAATTGCAGTCATAGGGGCAGTTCCTCTCTCATGGGGGAAGGGGGGGGCAGTATCATTGGGGTAGGTGTGTCAGGTACTGGGTGTGGAGTGCATTTCACAGTCACATTGGTTTTGGCCTTGGAAAAGTAGCCTAAACCATTGGTCTCAACTGCCCAGAAGTGCAGAAAAGGCATTCTTGTGACCCTAAATTTTCAAAATTTTCCCTGGGGACTTTGATGACGCAGTCGTCAGAGCAAACGCCTTTCACCTTTGAGATCGTGGGTTGGATTCTCGCTACGGACTCATGTCAGGCCTTAAAATATCTTTTCCAGGGCCGTCTGACAAAATGTCC